AGAGGTATTTTATTAGAATAATTTTTCAGCCAGGAATGTTCACTCACTGTAGTCTGTGACATACATCAACTTTAATGAAGCTTTATAAAGATATTGATGCTTTTGTGCCTCTGCTCATACTGTATCTCAATATGGGGCGACTGTGGTTCAGTGAGTAGAGCAGTCGTCTCCCAAACCAGAGGGTTGGAGGTTCGATTGTCGCTGACTGCAGTCCACGTGTTGAAGTGTTCTTGGGCAAGTTTGATTTAGCGCACTCACCTCTTCTACAAAATCCTTTCTTCGTAGTGTGACCTGATCTAGCTAATGATCATGGCAGGGTCAGTTAGAATGGTTTGCAAGTGCATGAGTTTCAAAATAACAAAGCTGTCAAGGCAGACTAGTTAGCAGATGAGTTAGTTTTCAGTGTGCTGATGTGTAATATCCCAGACAGCCTCTGTAGTTTCATTTAGCCACTTGTTAGCAGGAGCCTTGTTTAAGACACATAAAAGCATTAAAAATCACGTGTGGTACTTACTTACGTCATTTACAGTGCCTTGCGAAAGTATTCGGCCCCCTTGAACTTTGTGACCTTTTGCCACATTTCAGGCTTCAAACATAAAGATATAAAACTGTAATTTTTTGTGAAGAATCAACAACAAGTGGGACACAATCATGAAGTGGAACGAAATTTATTGGATATTTCAAACTTTTTTAACAAATAAAAAACTGAAAAATTGGGCGTGAAAAATTATTCAGCCCCTTTACTTTCAGTGCAGCAAACTCTCTCCAGAAGTTCAGTGAGGATCTCTGAATGATCCAATGTTGACCTAAATGACTAATGATGATAAATAGAATCCACCTGTGTGTAATCAAGTCTCCGTATAAATGCACCTGCACTGTGATAGTCTCAGAGGTCTGTTTAAAGCGCAGAGAGCATCATGAAGAACAAGGAACACACCAGGCAGGTCCGAGATACTGTTGTGGAGAAGTTTAAAGCCGGATTTGGATACAAAAAGATTTCCCAAGCTTTAAACATCCCAAGGAGCACTGTGCAAGCGATAATATTGAAATGGAAGGAGTATCAGACCACTGCAAATCTACCAAGACCTGGCCGTCCCTCTAAACTTTCAGCTCATACAAGGAGAAGACTGATCAGAGATGCAGCCAAGAGGCCCATGATCACTCTGGATGAACTGCAGAGATCTACAGCTGAGGTGGGAGACTCTGTCCATAGGACAACAATCAGTCGTATACTGCACAAATCTGGCCTTTATGGAAGAGTGGCAAGAAGAAAGCCATTTCTTAAAGATATCCATAAAAAGTGTCGTTTAAAGTTTGCCACAAGCCACCTGGGAGACACACCAAACATGTGGAAGAAGGTGCTCTGGTCAGATGAAACCAAAATCGAACTTTTTGGCAACAATGCAAAACGTTATGTTTGGCGTAAAAGCAACACAGCTCATCACCCTGAACACACCATCCCCACTGTCAAACATGGTGGTGGCAGCATCGTGGTTTGGGCCTGCTTTTCTTCAGCAGGGACAGGGAAGATGGTTAAAATTGATGGGAAGATGGATGGAGCCAAATACAGGACCATTCTGGAAGGAAACCTGATGGAGTCTGCAAAAGACCTGAGACTGGGACGGAGATTTGTCTTCCAACAAGACAATGATCCAAAACATAAAGCAAAATCTACATTGGAATGGTTCACAAATAAACATATCCAGGTGTTAGAATGGCTATGTCAAAGTCCAGACCTGAATCCAATCGAGAATCTGTGGGAAGAACTGAAAACTGCTGTTCACAAACGCTCTCCATCCAATCTCACTGAGCTCGAGCTGTTTTGCAGGAGGAATGGGCAAAAATTTCAGTCTCTTGATGTGCAAAACTGATAGAGACATACCCCAAGCGACTTACAGCTGTAATCGCAGCAAAAGGTGGCGCTACAAAGTATTAACTTAAGGGGGCTGAATAATTTTGCACGCCCAGTTTTTCAGTTTTTTATTTGTTAAAAACGTTTGAAATATCCAATAAATTTCGTTCTACTTCATGATTGTGTCCCACTTGTTGTTGATTCTTCACAAAAAATTACAGTTTTATATCTTTATGTTTGAAGCCTGAAATGTGGCAAAAGGTCGCAAAGTTCAAGGGGGCCGAATACTTTCGCAAGGCACTGTATTTCGTAGAACAAAACATGAAAATGTATTAGCCTTGTGTCAACCACAGACATTATCTCAGGCTTCTAACCAAAAACCTATTGACCTCAGGGCGAGGGAACCGGAAGTGCCAAAATGCTAACTCAGTTCCGGGTATTAGGCTTCACTACTACGGCCCTCTATTGAGAGGGCGACCTCTGTGGTTTAAAGCTCTAACCATGAATCACACCATGCCAAGTTCGAGCCCACCTGCTGATATTGGTTGTATCTCTCTTCCCCCATTTTCTATCAGTGTCTGTGATAAAGACTTAAATAGCCCAAAGCTTAGGAACCCTTCATAGTTCATATGTTTGTGTTAAATTTCATGTTAGGTTTTTACCTAACCTTTACCTTTATCATGTTTACCTGTTAGCGTTGTCCTACAGAGCCTTGTGTTTGTGGCCGTCTCTCTATTTTAGTGGGTTTGTTTGAATAGTTAGTGGCTCTACGTGCAATTAGCTGATTAGGATATTGTGTGTATGTTTCCTATATGAGTGTGTGAGACAGAGGCAGTGTGGGTTTTCCCAAGAGGACAGAGGCAGAGGGAGATGTCTCAGCAGTTACTTCAGTGTAGTAGTTCTCTGAGGAGTAGCGCTGTGTTTGATGCATCCAGTGCTGCTGGTACTGACTCCCCACTGCACACATTCTCAAGTATGCACACACACACACACACACATTTTGATGCACACTTCCTGGCACACATGGCCTTGTGTTCCCAGCTCCTGTTACCTTTAATGAAGAGGAGAGGAGTCAAGGGGCAGAGGAACTGTGTGTTTTTTGTTTGTTGATGTGGGTTTCAGAGGTTCTCACTCTCCAGATGTATTGGAAATTGATAAGACCGTGGTTTCTGTGTCCCAGTCTGTTTCTTTGTGTATGGTACAATTGCTTATGCTGGAACATTTGCTTTTAAGATGTACAAAATGAAAGGTTTTATGATATTGAAGTCATTATTTTCAGCCCGACCACTCCACTTCTCATCTCATGCAGCTGAAAATTTCTCAGGGAATGAATTTGTTTCCCTCACTCAAAAAAGGTGCATGTAGTAGGTACATAACTTGAAGTGAATATTTATGAGTGATACAATATGAATATCCGCCTTTGATCAGGCACCCTAATGACCATGAAATCCTTGGGTTGATTCAGAGGAAAAACAAAATTAGACAGAAGTTTGAGGAGGGACCTGCCACCCCCCACCCCCCACCATTTTGAACCTTTCCAGTGTTTTTGTGACAACAATTACACAACCACATAGAAAGTTCCTTTATACTGAGGCTTTGTAATCCAGTATGATTAAAATGACATTCTTATCCTCTTAGCTTCCAAACATACAGTCCAGTAAAAATAGAACAATGCTGTAAGTCTCCCCAGTGATGCCTACACTGTTTTAATTATGTCCTGAGGCATGTCTGCTGAAAAGTGATCAACTTAAGCTTCTAGGGAAAGTGTAGTGTGTCTTCATCCCCACCAAAACAAGGCAATAGCTGCCATTTTCCTGTACTTACAGAATAGGTTTACATCTTTATGCCTCCATGCCAGCGACAGCTGTGGCTGGAGGCGTTATGTTTTCGGGTTGTCCGTACGGCCCATTCTTGTGAATGTGATATGTAAGAAACACCTTGAAGGAATTTCTTCAAATTTGGCACAAGTGTCCACTTGGACTCAAGGATGAACTGATTAAGTTTTGGTGGTCGAAGGTCAAGGTCGGTGACCTCACGTCTTTCCCATTCCTGTGAATTTTGACTGGTTTGTGGAGTCATAAAACTGTGAAGCAGTAGTTCTAGTTTAGGTATGTTTTGAAACACTACTAACATGCCCATATGTACATTTAAATAGTTTAGTTTTAGGTAAATATGCTGTAAATATTCCTCCTGTCCATAAAGGCTATGAAGAGATTACACCGCAGTCATGTTAGCAAGTAATGACATTTTTCCATCAGTGCAGTTCAGCCTGCTTTTATTGTGCAGAGCTGGATGGGCACGAGTTGGCCTCCATCCTTTTCTGGCAGCGGGGGGTAATTGTGCTGACTCGGGTTCAGTCGGCCCTGCTTTCAACCAGGGCAGAGTGGGGCCAAGCTCCACCTTCAGAGCTGGCTCATCAAGACACATGATTGGCTGAAATGTTGCACTGAGCAAATGTCCTTACATTCAGAAGTCACTTTTTATCTGTTATTTCATTGCCACAAGATTTGAAAATGGAGTTTCTTACTTGGTCTTCGGATGCGGGCCTAAAATAATGCCTATGACGAGTCTACAGCAGTCTGAGTTAACAAAATCAAGTTGGTATTTTCCAAAGCTACAACTGTTTCTCTTTTTTGCGTCTGCATAAAGTTTCTTTGGTGATCAGCAATAGAAAGACAGAAACAGTAACTGGATTTTGTGCATCTTCTCTTGTACTTGATTTACATTTTGAAAGGCATCTCCACTGTCGGGACAGGAGAAAGGGACAGCAAACATCAACTTTTCAATTGTACATGGGCATGTGAATGTTTTAATGTATAATTTTAGGTAATGGATGTTATATCATCACTAACTGTGAATGGAGGCTTAGAAAAAGCAGTCTGGACTGAGGTATTAAAACTTCTTCTCTGCAGTCAGTTTTGTTTTGTCAAAACACTTTATATTGACGGTCCCTCAAAAGTTTTCACAAGACCTCGGGGCCCATCTGAAGTTCTCTTGTTTCAAAAAACAGACAATAGGCTTTCTGAAAACCTGCCAGGTGTCAGAAATCTGACTTTTTTTTTTTTTTTAAGTGGTGTTTTTCTCATTTTCTCTAACCTCTTCTACCACCGCCCCCACACCCTTTTTCTATCCTTCCCCTCCCCTGCAGATCCCCTCTGCTGGCCAGCTAATAGAAGCAGTGCGCGTGAAGATGAAGGAGAGGAAAGTGCTGACAGAAGAGCTGGCCACGCTCGCAACACCAGTCAGCGAAAAAGCCTGACTCCCTGGGCTGAGGCTGGGAAAACTGTCATCCTCTTCTTTTTCTCCCTCCCTTCTTCTCTCGCTCCCCAGTTCGTACTCAGTGGGAGCTGGACTGAGCCAGGCTTAGCCGGGGCAGCAGAACCAATGTTTGTGAGAAAAGCGCTGTCGACTCACTCTGGGCCACTGGCGCAACACAGCAGCCCAGCTTTTCTAAATGAGCCCTCGACATCTGTGTTAGCGCTGAGTGCACTACGTCTATCAGACAGGGCCCTTTAGCACCAAGCTAATTTATAGTGCAGCCAGTCTCCCCTACTCTTAACACAGACCTGGGGCGATAATACAGATGCTTACACTAATGTTTAAGTTAGGTTTTTGAAAATGTTTTTTTTTTTTTTACTTTCTTCCCAATTTATTTGGCACCTCTGGGACCTTAGGATGCAGGGACTTGACCTAGCAATGCTAAGTCGGCACATTGAGAAAGTATATCGCAGAGCAGAAAATTCACTGTAAGGCGTTAGATTTGTTTATGAGATCTGATACTACACTGCTCTCAGGAACTCTATTCATTGTTCGAAGTATTTCTGAAGGAAAATAACAGGATGCTTAAAATAAGTTTTGTTCAGTTAATAACTTATAAGGCAATTGTGTAAACTATAGATGAGTTTCTTCCAAAAATCTCTTCTTAAATAAAAACAGGTTTTACTTGCTTTTGTCTACTTTTTTTTTTTTTTTAAAGACTCCATTTATTGTTGAATTGAATTTCATGGTTTCGTTCTTTGTCTGAACACTCTCATATTTTCTCCGTTCCAGCAGTTCACAGGGCTGTCAGTCGTGTATGGTGGTGACTGAGGATGATCCGGTGAACAGCAGGGTTCTCACACCTCTCTAGTGATTGACAGCTGACTGTTGGCATGGTTCCGGTCTGTAACAAGTGACCCCTGCTGTTGACATCATTAAGAAGGGCCCACATGAGCATACACACAGCACAGGGGTGTGTTAGGGGAGTGGTTAGCTACTTCCAATTTCTTTTATGTTTCCATCTTCCTCTCTGTCTTATTATTCATTTTGAATATTAAACCATGATCCTGGTCTCCTCTGTCCTTGAGCTGGTATCCTACACAAGAGACCATACATTTCTCCTTTCAAATCCTCTCTTTTACCTTTTTCTTAAATTGTCTTTTTTACCTCTTTGCTCCATTCTTTTTATTATGTATAATTATCAATGGTGTGAAGAGTCCTGCGTTCAGGAATTAAAAAGAAATAATTCCACTTTTTAATCCCTCCTCCCTTCTCAAACATATGCTAATGATGTCATTTTCCTTTATCTTTTTATAATAAAGGATTAGGCCAGGACTGTCTCTTGCTGCAACTCAGGGACCAATTTAGCTGGGATCCAGGAGAGACAAACCCCAGTGGTTAATTACCATTCATTAACATAGTTTGCATCTTTTCTCCTCCAGTACCCAGGAGCCAGCTATTGTCAATATTTGTCCCATATAAATTCCTGCAGTCTTTTTCTAGTCACTGTCCTCCAGCGTAGTGCAGCTATTGTCAAACATTAATAACTCAGTGAAATCTGGTGGCGGAGTGGGTATAAAAGAGCAAAGCACTGATGCCACACAAATGATCTCACAGCCCCCACCCGATGCTATCTGTCTCTCTTTCTTATAGCGTATAATGCATAGTCAACGGTTTCCTTTCCGAGATCCGCCACCCGGCCTCGGCCGACACACTAATGCCATTTCAGTGACATATTCAAATGCGGCCCCCTTTAGCTGGTATTCCCTTGGGTTTAATTAACCTGGCCTTGCCTCTGATGCTCCCTCAGAGAAAACGTTAAAATGATCTTGAAAACACCCTTCAAACAGCCACACGCACATCTCCGGCTCTGCCGTGTATGATTCGTCTCTTTCTTTTTCTGTGAAGGAATGGCTGCAGCACCCCTCTTCTCTTTCTCATCCTCCACTCTTCTTTTCTTGTACAGCTCTCATTAAGAGAGGTTTCCTGTGGGAATTACTTTAATCAGCAGTTCCAATGCTAAGTTTTCCTCCCTTCTCCTTTTATTCATTCCAGCACAATCAGCTCAGTGTCATTTGTTTCCTCTGCCTTTATCTCTTTCTCTCACTCCAGCTTCTTTTTAAATCCAACTTGGTTGTATTTTTCTTTCCACAGATTCCTGCAGGAGATTGTTCCTGGAGGGGTAGAGGTGGTCAGGGTCAAGGGTTGACTTCAGGGTCGATCGATGATTTGTGTTTGTGTGTTTTTTTTTGTGTGTCTCAAAGCTTCTGTGTTGTACTTTTAAGTTCCCCAAGTCTGGTACGAGTGTGTGCCACTTGGGTGGAAAGGCGAGTAGCCCACAGTACAAAGAACAGTCAAAGCGCAAAATGAGAATTTCTGCAGCCTCCAACTGATGCACAATTAGTCTTTGCAGATCTCGTCAGCCAGCTGTGGCGTGAATCAAAGACAGCCTCTGGGTGATTTTCCTTACTTCACTGACACAGATTCACACCCCAGCTTTTGCTGCCAATACACCAGTCTGCTTTGATTTCACACACACACACATACACTTGGCACTGTCTTAAATAACAAGCTACCTGTGACATGCAGCCAAATGTGCTTTTGACAAATGTATAATGTAACATGTTTACAGTTTCCATTGTGTCTATCCTCCATGTTTGATCCACAGAGAGACAGTTCAGTAATAAAAGGTGGATACTGTTTACAGTTGTGTATGACAGCAGTCTCACCACATCTGTATTTACCCTGACTGTAGTGTGAAAATTTTTAAAAGCCAAATGAAAATTATTGTTAAAACTTTAATGTCTCAGACATATCCCCTCAATTCATCTATGAGTAATGTTTTTTTAAGACCAGGTGCCACCTTAAGGCAAAAAAACAAAACAAAAACAATTCACACTGCACATATGCTATGTATACAGCTTCATTGATCTTCACTTGAACAAGTCCCTTATCCTCCTCTACAGCGCTGCAGACATGAAACAGCAGCAGATTATGGGTGGATGCTGCCCACCGTGGGAAGCTAGGGAGCAGATAAAAAGACCAGCCACTCAGGGGACTAAAGCCATGTTTTGATGCTGTGTGATAAAGTAGAGGAGTAGGGTGAGATGAAGAGGAACGTTACAGGATCTATATATCTATATATAATATATCTATTTATCACTATCCACTCTTTGTCTTGTCCATTGTAACCAAGCCCTCCTGTACTTTTCTTGTTCTTTGACACTCATTTTCTCTGTCCCCACGGACTGTCCTAAGCCTTGCTCATGGCAGTTGTCTCTCTAAAGCCATGGCCTGAGCTCCTGGGGAGAAAAAAGACTGAAAAGGAGAATGAGAGCGGGGCTGTTCTCGTCTCTAATCTACCACTTCTTACAGCGTAGGTGGGAAACTGCAGTCCTTGACATTATCTCCAAGAGACACAACTCTTTGAATGCGACTGTCTGAACCCTTTGGTGTCCTTATGACTAATCTAGTCTGTTGTCTCAAATGGTGTAGAAAATGTGACTCTTAATATTGCAGATCAGTCAAACTGTCATACTTGGATGCACTATATTGTCAGATTTCAAGCTTTTCAAATAAGCCTAGGTTAAAGCAGAATTTTTTTTTTTTTTTTTTTTGGTGCTTACACTCAAAGTTTGTGAGTTGACAAACTTAACATTTTGTTATGTGCATTCACAATTTAAAAAAAGGACAAAATAGTATCAGTCATTATTGGTCCTAGCTGTTTTAAGATGGGCAGTGATCCTTTGTTGTCTGATCTAGCAAATATAATAACACTTATCCTAGGGTGTACATCTCCTCAAAGCACCTCTCCACCTTGACTAACTTTTCCAAGCACTCATTAGTGGACTGGCTGCAGTTTGGAGGCTATGAAGCAGGCTGGCAGGTTACCCCCTGTAAAGTAGCACACCTCAGGTAATCACACTAATGAATTCAAGCACCCCCACTCCCCCATCTCTCATTCATTTCTCCTTTTCCCTTTAGTTTCTTTCTCCCTTTCTTCCACAGTGGCAGGTTGGTGCAAGAGGTGCCGAACAACAAAGAAGTGTTTGTTTGCATAATGTTACCACTGCACACAGTTGCAGGAGCCTGACTGCAGGACTGACTGGAGGCTTCCCATGAACACAGGTGGAGCAGAGTGAGCATCACTGGGACCAATTAAAGCTGAGCACAGGTACATTAGCATGTTTGAGTGGAGTGGGGTGGCATGGGGATTGGTAGCCCTTACAAAACACACACAAACACATGACCGTGGTGTGTGTTAGTCGTTTGTCTCCAGTGACGCAACTGGCATATGTGTGACAAATGACCCCTAGTTCGCTGTCACAGCACATAGTCCTTTCCATCTACATCTGCTCACACATGCTACTAAAGTACAACTGCAGCCTGCAAGTTCAGGGCTCTGTTCGCTGTGAAAACATTTGGTAATGTTTTACAAATTAATATAAAAATGTGAAGTCAGTTATTTTTTTGTGGGTTGATGCCTTAAAGGCAAATAGTGGGAGTAAGGAAATGTTATTCACATGTGTTTTACACATCCAGCTTGTGAGTGCTCCTGAGCTTTAGAGTAGACCACTGTCCATAACAAAACAACCAGGGTAAAATTAAGGTAAAATTTAAAGTAAATTAAGAAACCCAAGGCACACCTAGGCCAGGTGTTCTGGGTTTGCACTGGGTTCTTCTCCCTACTGAACAAGCAAAGAGAACTACCACCAAAAGGATTTTTGATCAGAAACCTGAACCACCTTAACTGGCTTCTTTCTGTTCAAAGGAGCAGCAGTTCTACTCCAAGCTCCTTCTGAACTCACCTTATTCTTAATGGAGATTTCGGGTACCCTGCAAAGGCCACTTTTACCTCTGATCTCATTCTTGCTGTCACTACACAGAGCTCATGATTATAGGTGAGAGTTGGAACTCAGGACTTGTGATTGGCTTGAAAGAGGCTTCTGATAAATCCTTAGACAGAAGGGGAGGCTGGGCCTTCCCTGTAGTGGAGGAAGCTTTGCAAATGTTTCTGCCAGAAGTCACTAAGGTAATCACATGTTCTGCCTTGGCAAGGGTGGATGAGATTTATTCTATGTTCAGGTGTTGAAACCTCTGGACGTTGTTGGCCTGACCTGCTTTACTGTACATACCAGTGTTGTGCAGAGGTCACAGCCACAATCAGTTTTTAATGAATATCAGGTAATGTAGTATACCCATATACATTTTTTTTAAATGGGGTGGGTGGCAGGCCAGGGAGCCAAAGAACCTGAGCCAAGAACTGTTCAGGTTACTGTCACCTGGTTTGATATCATTTGCACTTTCTCTGTTGGCCAGTAACAGCCACTTACGTTAAAGCAATGAATGCCATTTGAGGTTCTTCTACGGTGTATCTGATATTCCCTTTTTGTATGCTGTTTTACTTACAGTGGAACTAATGTTATCTGAGAGATTAATGCAGTTTACTGTAGTCATACTGTATGTGTTGCAAGGCAGTTTCATGTTTATCATTGCCGTATCATTTGCTACCACTAGGTGGTAGCATAGCCTCATAGTTCGTCATTATACATTCGCCAGACTGTCTTTTTATTTTTTTATCACCTTTATTTGGCCAAGAATGTTACACACAAGGAATTTGTTTCCGGTACAGAACCGAGGCAGCCATCTGCGGCGACAACTCAACCGATGGCTCTAACCATTGGGGGTAACTTGGGGGTTCAGTGTCTTGCCCAAGGACACTTCGCCATGTGGACCACAGGCACCGTGATTCGAACCTCCAACCAGTTGGGAGACGACTGCTCTACCCACTGAACCACAGTTGCCCCCAAAAATAACTTATTGGCCAGTATGGAGATTATGAACGGACCTGCAGAAGATAGAAAAGTTGATACTTTATCCTCTTGCACAAAATAATGCATTGCATAGACCTCAGATTTATTTATTTATTTGACTTTAAATTTTGTATCTCGTGATGATTCCTTGCCCACGTTTTCAGGGCTTTTCTTTGGTCATTATTATAAAGCATAATTTTCTAGTTGTTTCAGTAATTTGGTGTTCGGAAATGCGCCATAAGATGGCGCCACTAAGATACCAATTGTTTCACGCCATTTTAAGTTGCTCTACATTCAATTAACCTGCTGTGGAGGAATCTTTTCATCACAAGAGAAGTGAATTAGACACCTAAAAATATGAAAACCGAGCGGATGAGGCAGTAGTCAAACCTTGGTGATAATAATGGAGATGTGCATGATTATTTAACAGTTCATATCATATAAGCTACACATCCACTGTGTGAAGTCGGCACCTGGCGTGAAAGTTAACATGCAGTGTAGTGTAGTGGCACGTCATCTCTTCAGGGACATCTTCAGTAGTTGTTTTGATGATGGATTTCATACGTGCGCTTTTGCGTATCTTGCGCTCGGTTTGCGGTCCATTGGTGAGAAGTACGGTACACCGCCCACCACGCAAATGTACATATTACCACGCACTTCAACTGCGGCAGTTTATTGTCTTGTGTTTGCTAGCGATTATGTTACTTCGCAGGATCAAAAGAAATAAGCTGTGTTTAAAGAGTTTTATATTTGAAAAGGAGAAGTACAACAATAACATAATGTTTTACAACTCTATACCATAAAGGTTCTATGTGTAATAGACTCTTCTGAGTTTATTAACTACACGTAAATACCTGTTCGTTTTATTTGGCACTTCAATGGGGCAGGTGCTATATGGCCACATTTAGGAATTTCTATTCTATTTCTAATCATCAGTGTGTCTTGTTCCAGGGCTGTAAGTGTGGCCATATGCGTCCCTGGCTGTCAGCTCGAGTACTCCATCCAAAATCGACCAGCCATCCGGCATGAGGGGCTGGCCTCAGCTCATAAATAATAATAATAATAATAAATGTGTGCAGGTGACTTCTTAGCTTTTGCTCAGGGCTATAGCTCATATCACATCTTGCAGTTTGGTGCAGACATTTAATCGTCTCAGCCTGGGAATATCGTGATGATCGGTTTGAGTTTGGGTCGGAGGATCTGAGAGGGATGTGATGATAAAGCTGCAGTTAAAAGCAGAAAGGTGCTAATTTCTTGCTGCACAGTAAATAGAAGTTCCCTTTTATGCGTCGCCAGGTGTTACAGTGAGTGTATGTGAAGAGCTAATCCCCACATTAAGCCTACAATCCTAATGTTGTCTATAAGGGAGTGTCCCCAAACACTTATTTTAACTTCCTTGAACACAAAGCGGGTCATCATATCCCATATAGCACAAAAACTTTTGGTGCCATTACGGAGAACAATTACACCCCAGTAGGTTCTAACTTGCAACATTTTTATTGATTGATGACACTGTAGGAAAAGTCTATGATTTGATGTATGGCAGCCAGTTCCCACGTGTGTTTGGGGTAGTTAGACACTTTAGTTAGTGGCTTAACTGTTGACAGTGTGGAAAGTTGTCTTTTGCTTGTCACGGATCATTTAAAAAGAACACAAGTGATGATAGATGTTAATAGCATGAACAAACAGCGTGATTTTAAAGTACACACCAACACAGCCTGATGGTTTCTGTTCTTAAAGTGCCCAGGAACTGCACCTACAGCTGCATCACAAGTGAACCGCGTGGTGAGACTGTAATATCCCCTGCTGGTTTCAGAGTCAAGAATAAACTTTTAGCCTCGACACGAATCTAGAAAATTAAATAGCCTAGACATTAATGTAACTGCTTAAGCCATTAAAATAAGTCTTGTGATGTCTTGTTGATTTTCGCGACGTGAGATACCAGATGAAATTTGCTGCACTGCCGTGACCTTCTGTCAGTAAATGACATTTTCATTGCACATTCATTTTTACAATAAACAATTGTTTGGTCTTTTCAATGGTGTAAATCCCACTTTTACCTCGCCACATCACTAGACGCTGTCCATGGTTCTGGAGGCGCTGTCCATGGTGCTGGAGCCACTGCGCTGTTTAGAGATCACCGAGTCTCATTTTGACTTCAAGTCCTTTGGTACTTTAGTGTTTTTCGGTGTGTTTTTTAAATTTCTATTTAATAGAAATGTATAGAATAGATCCCATTAGGGGACCAGTGTGCAAGCCCTCTAGAGCCATCATCATTAAGTTGGGTAATGAAGGAATGTTTTACTTTATTCTCTATCGCCTAAACTTGATATCAGTGTTAAAGTGTAATTTAATGGAAACTGATTTTACCTCATTTATTTCGTGGTTTCCACAGATTTTCGTTCTCCTGCTGATCAATCTTAGGTTAGACACGCTTCATCTTCCTTTAAGGGTACGAGTCCAGCCGTAGTGAGGAGGCGGTCGCGTCCATGTCTGCGCCGTTTTAGACATGTGGGTTTGACAACCAATGGCGTGATCAGGGCTTTACTGTTTAGTCAGCCCCTTCCTCACAGGAGATTCCTCTGGTGAGGAACAGCGTAGACAAGGGTTAGCACGGCTACGAGATCATCACCAGATAGAATTAGGACCGAGATTTTCTAGACCTACAGCATCAGTTCATAATCCCAGCTAGGACCATTGTGTAGTAGCCATGTCTGTAGCGGGGCTGAAGAAGCAGTTTCACAAAGCCACTCAGGTAAGAGGACGCGGTGTTGGAGAGCAGTGGAGTGGCGTTTGGATAGTAAAGATTCCCCTTTACTCCCAACTCGTCATGCTGCACCTAGATGTAGTCCGCTGCGGATGCGCTTCATCTTTTACTTGTAAATCAATCACACGTTGCTGAAATGTACTCCACCGAAAAGAACTGGCGTGGTGCAGCGTTACACCAATAGAATAATTTATTATTCGTGCTTTACTCTGCAGCCTTAGTTTGAAATATCTATGGTTATTTGATGCATGACGGAAAGGAACATGATATTGAGCTATTTGGTGTTGTGTTTCTGTGTGACCATATGGGAGAGAGATTGCAGGGTAACGTGATGATAGTGATGTCTGGGACGTCAGTTCCTCTCAGTACCCTTCAGATGACATTCCGCACAGAGATCTGTCGGAGCTGCGGCTAATGGAAGTCGCACATACTTGTAATGCGCAAGTTTTAGCCCTAAATGAAAGGCTGTTTAAACCAGTCTATCTTTTAGCCAACTCCGACGCGCACGATGTTATGCAACCGCCAAGTTCGCCTTGGCGGAAACCCGCTCCTTCCAGCAGGAGCACGCCATGATCTCGGCGCCCTCTAAACGAATTAACGCCTATTGCGGGATAGCGGTGGTTAATTTAATTACGTCTTCCTCATCTGATGCAGAATTATCTTGTGTTATTAGATGTGATCCCAGTGGAATATTTTGTTCAAGGTTAGTTAGAGGCTCTGGCTTCACACCCATCCAATCCATTTGAGTATCTTGGTTATTTTATTCCCCAGAGCTCAGACTGAGCGCCACCATTAACTTTTGAGCCCATCCGTGACTATGGGTCGTCACTGTTCTTAAATGGGACCTAGATGGTCAAAGGCATGGACGGATCTGTCCCTGCAGCTCACCACTAACTCCAAGGCTTTGGAGTGACTTTTAATTCTGGTGTTAGCTGAGAGCTCAGAGGGAGGCTGTCCGTTTTTAGGGGTGAATCACAGGGACACCGTCAATCAGCTTCAGACCCTACACAGCAGAACATCCAGGGCCTGGCTGACTCACATGCACCACTCTTCCTGTTTGTTCTCCAGTTCACCCACTCTCTAAATTGGCCATAGTTATAGCTCCCACTTTGAATCATTCCTTCATCTTTACAAGAAATTGTCAGATACAGCAGAATAATGACCTAACTGTGACACTAATAATGGCATGTCTGTTGAAGGTTGATGCCTATGGATATTAAATTCTCTTAATTGTATGTTTGACCTGAATGACTGACAATGGCGTGGCAAATTGAGAGGACAGGCAGTCATTAACACAATTAACAGCTGGTGATAAAATGGAGTCTAGTATTGTCTTTTAAGTTAATTTATGCTGGCATTAGTCATTTATATTAGTGTTAGTCACAGTAATATTCGAAAGGTTTACGTTAATGGTTGACCCCAGACACATGAATGCTGTGATGTTCTGGTTTCATATTCACAGAACATTGCATAGATCCGCTCTTGTAAAGCTGAAATAAAACGGTAAAGCATAGCTAGGAGTTGCATCATGTTGATGGATTAAATAAAAACAGAAGTAAATGGCAACACCTGTGTTCTGCTGTTAACACACTTCTCAGCTTTAATCAGGAGCTCATTTAATTAGATTGGAAGTAGACAGCAGCCCACATGGGGCATTAGCCAACTGTACAGGTTGTATTAATTCTGTGATGAGCCTTTTGTCACCCATTAGACTATCAGAGCCCTCTCTCTCCTTGCAGATATTCCTCTATAGCCTCAAATGTGTCCGTGTGCAAGGTGGGGGTGTCCTACATATCAGCATTTATGTCTGTACAGTAGTAGTAGTGTGGCTGTCAGTGTGTGTATGCAAAAGAGCTGTGGTTGAGTATGTAAATATTCAGTGTACACATCTGAATTTGTAGATTTTTGCATTTCATTATACAATTTTATTCTCAGTGCGACTCAGCTATAGGCTCAGCGCTTGCTGTTTCTGTAGTCTCCTGCCATTTGTTTCTCAACATTACACTCACCATCTCTCAACACACACCATGACTCTCAGTGGCAGAGCCCCCCCTCAGATGCTCTGGATTACATACCCCTATAATCCAGACCCAGATTCACATAGGCAGTAATCCACCAATCTGGCTACTTGCATAAATATTACAGACACACCCAGTGCCCAGACATGCTTTAGTAAGACCCCCACCTCAAAACAAGGACAGGAGGTCAGGAGCTTAAGAGTTGAGACCAGGGAATTAAAGGAACCAGATAGTACTTTGCAGGAATGAATATCTGCATCGATGCCATTTACTTTACAGAAGAAATGCAGTACAATCACTGGCTCTTTTCCCATTGCTGCTGTTGACAAAGTGCAGCTTGGAGGGGCAATATGAGTAAAAGTAGAGCTGCAAGAATTAACACGTCACCTATTATGGTCATTGATTTATTTAAGCAAAATATCAAAAGAAATTCTTCACATGCATGAAGGCTTCTGCAGTGTGAGAATGTTTTTTTTCTTTGTTTATTATTGTAAACTGAACATATTTGGGTTTGGCTGTGATGACTTAACATCTCAAGTATTAAAAGCAAACTCCTAAATAAGTGGAGCCACAATAGCTTATTTATATGCAGACTAGACTTTACATCCTAAAATGCTGCGTTGACCTTATAGCCCATTGCATCACTAATCGCTAATTAGCAGTGCAGCTTTGTCAGAACTTCAGACTACAGCATCTGCTTTGTTTGAGAGAGAAAGTCCTGTGCATGGAGGCTTGCAGCGTTTCTTCATGACAGTTTGTGGACTGCTGAGAGAAATGGTTCACGAAAAGGAGAATGCCAAGGAGTGATTTTATGAGATTAACACAATATACATGCTTGCACAAGCTCACTGTCACCTTCTCACATACAACACTGAGTAATTAGTTTCACACAACCACAATCACACTTTTCTCTAATAGAAGACATCTCTCTCTCTCCCTCTCTCTCATCCAATGACATTGGGGCCTGGTGCATTAGTAACGGGGGTCATTTTGAAAAGAAGAGAAGCACAGGGCTTGAAGTGTAAAACCCAGCAGCCTCACAAGAAATTGCTTTTTAATATATTTAATTATTTACCAAGAACACCATTTGCTCATTTTCACTATGGACTATGTTATAAAGTAATATAACTCCACACACAATGGAATAGATTATAATTGGGGATAAACCAGACACAATTTGTTTTATCTAAGAAATATTACCCTGTGGTAAAAACCACACACCTTAAAGGAGCGATTGCTCTTTTACTACATCTTAAGTCAGCTTCAACTTCGTTTTTTTTATTTTTTTATTTTGTTTCATCTTTATTTTATCTGAGAAAATCCTGTTGAGGTTTAGAACGTCTTTGTCCAGGGAGCCCTGGCAAGGCAATGGTGTTAGAAAGTTAACAAACAAAACAAAAAAACCAAAATGATCATGCTTACTGTCATGATGACTCTGTCCCCATAAAGAAAGTGGTGTATATGTAGCGGGCTCTGCAGCTGATTGTGCGTGTGCATTCATGCATGTAAACACCCTAATGTGGTGAGGCTTTTTATACGAGCTATTAAATCCACTCAACTATGGATTCAAATAGATGCAGTAGATGACAGCACCTCTAAATTGTGACAGGAGATTTATGTCAACATTATGTAACAAGCTTCCTTCCAAACTGCACAGACTGAAAAGAGATACAGTATTACCAGTGAACACCAGGTTTCGGTATCTTTTGGAAATGGTCTCTTCAGCCCACATGTCACTAAGGGGAGCTGGAAAACACAGCCAAGACACCTTTGAGGGTCAGATATACCTGACAGCATGAAGTGTCATGTCAGTTGTGAACTGTATGGAAACAAATCTGTCAAGATAATATACAATAGCTTAGGTGTGGTAGAAGTAAAAAGCAATAATCGGATTTGTGCAGGGTATATTTCTTAGAATACATAGTAGGGCAGTAATCTCCTTTTTTGTAGGCAGCCTGGTTTGCCTGGAAGTTTCCCAGTGTGTGTTTTGAATGCTAATATCAGTACTGCGCATCTTACCCGTACTGTGCTGTGTGTAGCATTTTGATTTGTCAGCTGGAAACCAGCTCTTCTTATTTTGTAACCTAAAAGTAAATAATTAAGCATAGGGGACTTTTTCAAATGTTTAACATTTCTTTTCTCAGAATAGAGTACACAGTGTGCAGTTGAGGATGTGGACATGCATCGTATAGCTCATGGACAGCAGTGGGGTCCTTGGATGTGGCTCGTGCCTGAAGGGTTTTACGGGTAGCAGATTGTGAGTGGGTGACTCATTCAGCCTGGATCCTCACTAGGCCTACTGCAGTGCAGTGCAGAATAGATCCAGCTGGAAGATAACAGATGGGGCAAGAAGGACAAAAAGAGTGTGGAACAAGGAAAGTGAGAGAAGCGAGCACAAGAAAGGGGAAGGAGAGGGAGATGGAAGCACCCTTGAGGAGGCAGGAAGTAATGGAGAGAGGGAGGCAGAATTCAGCCAAGAGATGCTGAATGCTGGAGCACGACGAGGGACTGAGCCAAGTTGAATAGGAGAGAAAGTGGTGAACAGTTGATCTGCAGAGATTTCTTTGCTAGAATTGGGAGAAATTTCTACCAAGCTGAATTTTCAGTTGATGTTGGTATTACACCAAACTATTATTTTAACTTAATGGCTTTGGTAGCAATTAATGATTGTTTGAAGTATCAGTTATTCTGTCTATTATTTTGACAAATAATCCGTTTGTCTAAAACCACAAAATATTAGCATATTGTTGAATGAAATATTATTTAGCTGTAAAATTTGTTAGAGTGTAATTTTTTGTTACATGATGCAGCTTTAATTCTAGAAAAGAACACCTTGTTTTGCACCAAAGTAGTACTGGCTGATGTCTGTGAAGAGTCTCAGTCATCTGCCAGACAATAATGTCAATATTGGGTGATTCAGCAAAATATTAAATTATGTTCACTGACACCATTTTATAAAGTCTTGCTTTC